AAGATATTGGTTGCTTTGAAGGACGCGTAGTTGAAATTTCAACTTTTTGTGGACCGGATGAAATAAAATTTTTTGAATGGATGTTCGCCACAGAAGATTTAGATTTAGATTTTAACAATTTTTCACCATCCATAAAGTCCATAGAGAACCCAATCATTCTTAAACAAAGAACACATTGGGTCATAGTCCAATCGATACCATAATCACCAGTTTGAACTACATAATAACCCACGGTAAGGTAAGTAATGTTAAAAAGGAAGGCGGCAATAGCGAAAAGGGACCGATTTCCGACAATATTCCCAATCCAACAAAAGAGCCATGTAACAATGGTAGCTATTAGAGTGTGTTTGATACCAGAACCGTTATGAAAATAAGAAAGCGCGAGACCAGTGACAACAACGTAAAGGTTGCGAATGAAGGGTGCCCATTTTGTTTTCAAAGGACGAAGAAGTGTAAAACGGTAAAGGAGAGAGACCGGATAAGATAATATAATTGTGAAAAGTAAACGAAGGACCGATTCAGGCACACCAGTCGTTGTGCTAAGACTTTTAACAACCATAGTGTTAAGGCACGATACAAGTTTCGATTACTGGCTTCTATAAACTTTGTATCCTTTTATTGAGAATAATTGTGAAGTGAATAAAAATAATACAGACAATACATCAAGACATTGAACGGTATTTTCCTTGGAAATTGTGCGTTTAAATCAGAGCGACCGAAATTCAATTTGTATCTCTAGTGATCTTCATTTGAGATCAAATAAAACCATGTGATACAATGGGGTGGCCTGTTAGCTAAGTAATCAAAATACGTATCAGATACGTGGTCGTTAACTTTTCATCAATATGACATATTTTATATAAAATTGGCGTCATTTTTCAGATGAAATTTTCTTTTTTAGCCGAAAGTTTTGACGCCAATCGACTCTTATTCCGATAACGAATCATTTAATATTATATAGCGGAATTTTTTTTTCTAATTTACTTTATCTATATCTGCCTGGATAATCTAGACGAAATTTAAATTACTGATATATATTGTATACAGTATATTTTATATAATTAAATATAACATTTTGTCTCTAACAGCTAACTTGCATTTTGGAGACAAATTTGTAAATTAAAATCATGTGATGCGTATAAATTCTAAAAGCCAATAAAAAATATCAACTACTTTCATTATCCATATCAACGTTGCACGAAAGATTTTATGCTATATACCGGTATAATTTTAATGACCGCCCAGTGATAAATTTATATCCAACATCTGACTATGACGACATTTTTTTAAATTTTTGAGCCTATATACTTAATATGAAAATGCTCTGGTCAACCCGACATCTGGAGAGTTTCGATATAACCAGAGTTATACTCTATACAATATTGTAACGC